TAAGGTGGTCCATGCCAGGGAAACCAGAGGACTTCACCTCCTCAGCCAAAGTAATGTTGTATGAAAACTGGATAGAAACTCTACACCAGGCAAATTAGAGTTCTCCCTGGAACTTATAGGTTGGTCAAAGCTGGACAGCATAAGCAGCATGTATTAACATTGAAGTGGACCTGAAATTCTTGTAGACAGAGTTAATGACAGAGTTATAGTGTGATGAACAAAGTACACTATAAGCGGTTATGGAATGAAGCCAGAAAGACACAGAAAGAAAGATTTTGTGTTATCAGGCTCCCACCAGCATCCTAATTCCAAAATATTTTGTTTTCATTCCGTGAACTATCACAACAATCTCCCAACATACATATGTATGTATGAACATGGACACACATATATGTAATTTGTACACAATGACTGTAATCTAACTACAGTTATAGCTGAGGAATAGCATAAAGTTTATCATATGAAAATGGATATACATATATAATTCCATACACTAATGTCAGGGGTTTAGAGTCCCTTAAACTTTAATGCATTTCGTGAATAATAGGGTAATGACCTAAATTTAGTGTTTTTTTACTAGAAAATACTTACAGTCAGTTTATGTTTTATACAGGATATGATAAATTAATATGCCATTGTGGTTATGTCTCTTAATTTTTTATAGATTTAATTGCATTTTTCAATTAAAATATACTAATAAGTTTGCACTAATTTTCTCATGACTATATGATATGGACATGACCAGTTTTGGTTACTCAAAAACTAAATCCTAAAGTTTTAGTTTCTAGCAGAATAGTAAAACATATGCACTTATGTGTACTCAGTATGTTCATATTATTTGATAGGTGCATGCAGGGAGGCTTTATGCCAGGACTTGCTCCTCCTTTAACAACCGTATGCACCATAAGTGTTAATGTCGTGTTTCAGTGACTCTAGAAATTACAAAACTTCCCCAAAAGAGGTCTCTTGGGTGTAAATACTTGGAAATTACTAATAGACATCTATTCCTGAAGGTTTATAACTCCAGTTAGGGTGTTATGTGCTCTGAGAAATTTCCAAGGTGTGAGTCCTTAGGAATTTGGGCTTTGGGTTGAGCTCTACATGCGACCCTTGGTTGTGTAAACCAGTATAGCCTTCGCACCGTGAGCCTCCTGGCCACCAAGTGCCACAGCCACTTCTTGGTGGTGTTTGTGTTGATCTGGATGCAACCACTTGGTAGGTGACTTTGTAGAGATTTCCCTAAAATGATGTCACATACACATAGAAAGGCATGATTACAATCAAAGAAATTATATCGAATACTTAATACCAACCTCTTTCTTATAAACCGAGTGACTATAATTATTTATAATTATGCATCTAGAAAGTGAACAAGTATGTCTATATTCCTTAGAGAAAACATTTAAGAAATAACTTTCTTAGTTTCTATATAGCCTTCATTTTCATAACCCAGTAGGTTATTACAAAGAGTTTAAGCCAACCTCCTACATTCTCTAAAAATGTCATCCTCTTAAAGAAGTTCATGTAAAAATTATGCCACTCAAGTAAACAACCTAGGAACCTTCTGTGATTTTATCTTTCCTTTGTTCACCACAATTAAGAAATCTTCAAGATCTTATTTGGTCGACTAAATGTTTTAAATTTATTTTCTCTATCCTTATAACAATTACCTTACTGACCTCTTTTCAGATTGCCTACTAGGCAATTGATATTGTTTGTCTATGCATGTCTTATCCTAAATTGTGTGTGTGTGTGTGTGTGTGTGTGTGTGTATACATGTACAGATCTCACCATATGATACTTTCAAAATTGTTTCAAATATAAGTAAGTTACATAATGTACAGGTGTTTTTGATCTCCTCATTTTTGTGTGTGTCAGAAGAGCTAAAAGTTGATGATTATTGAATTCTATTTATAAGAAAATAACTGCTTCAATAATCATCAAAGTCTACCTCCTGGAATTGTAAAAGCAACACTGGTTCATTTAAAATTCAGTGTAAGAAAAAAAAATTCAGTGTAACCCTATTAACTTGCATAAAGTATTATGATATCAAGACACAGGTGTTATGAAGTATATTGAAAGGTACCATGTATTTATAAAAGGATATTTGCAATAAATTATAAATTAATGCAATTAATCTATTGTATATATGTAATAATTCCAAGAAAATAGTTGTACACATTTTGGAAAAAAAGATTTTAGTTTAAATTTACTGGAAAATATTGAGATTGCTTTCTGTACGTACTAATGATGCATCTATATTCTGTTATGTATTGTTGTGATTACTTAATTTACAGTGGTTATTTTATGTCTGATTTACATATAGGTTCCACCTGGTGGAGTTCCTGTAGGTATTAGGTGTTGGTTTTGTGATTGTTGATTGCTGTGGTTCATTC